GAACATTCTAAGTCCAAGAATAAGCTCAACAGTTTTCTTAAATATATAGTAATAACAAAATCAAACAAAATCAGTAAATATCCAAGTAAATACATTCGATCGTGATGTTATCTATGATAGCAAAGCTGTACAAATTACAGACAGTAATACATGTACAACCCTGTTTAAGATGTCATTCGCATCAAAAAGCCACAAATAACTCGGTTTTGTTACTCGTATCTCATTAAGGGTAAGCAAAACAATCCACATCGACTACCAACTTGTATGAATAACAAACTTGAACATCTTGTTTACATGTCAAAGAATGTTTCCAGAAAATGCATCGAGAGATGAGATCCAGGCAAGATAACGTAAAAGTCTCTCTTTTTCAAGTCCTGAAACAAAATTAAACAATATACAGCAGGCAAAGAAATTGGATTCACTGAGTAGATCCAACAAAATAGTTAAACCGAATGAGTTTCTGAGCACAAAGGAGAGCATGGGAATCATGTACTCATCAAGTAAACCAAGTAGAATCTGCTCTGATAAAAATAAGACACAAATTGACGTCCCTGTGTGTGAAAACTCAAAATTAAGGCTACCAGAAATTTAGGATAAACTGTCATTAAGATCTAAATTGCTCATAAATCGAAGGCAAATGCGCCTGAAGGTTAGAAGTTGCAGACATGAAAAATGCCAGCAGCTTTAAAGCCAACTACAATATATTACAATTCGCACAACCCCAGCCATAGCTACAATTCATAGATGCAACTGACATGAATGCACTCCTGCAAAGTAACCGATAGAAACCTTACAATATTGAACATCATTAATAGGTGCCAGTAAATTGGCACCAAAGTTAAAAGGCCGGCAGAAAACATACAAAATGGCCTTACAATTTTAAGCTAACATATAGCTTGGCTTTATAATATGTTTTAATTATAAGTACTAACATTTATGCTTACGTTTTTTTGGCTGTTGTGCTTGCTTCTTGGATCCAGCTCTTTGTGCTTGCTTCTTTGATCTAGTTTTCAGAGTCTGCTCCTGTGAAGAAGGCAGATCTTCCTCTGTAATAGACTCCAATGCAGCGGTGCTTTCAGTAGATTCTTTTTTGTTTGAATAACTTGATTCTTCAGGGATTGCTTTTATGATATATATCTGAGGTGATAGACAAAGAGTAGGAGTCAGTACTGAACAGTGAGTGCAAATATGAAACAAGTAAGCTTGTGTTCATCTGTGAAAGCCTGCCATTAACAAGTATTCTATTAGGTTATTATGGTCAAATACTCTTGCAAGAGAGTTTCTCAAGGCCACCTGGCTAGTACATATTGTACTTTCGAAAAGTTTGGTATTTTCTTTGCTGATATTCTCATTCCCCAAATAGCCAAGTTAACATTTCTGTGTTTTCTCTACCATTTGACTTCTTAAAAATTTTTAGTTAGGACATCTTATAGTAAGAACTCAGATGTTAAATGTGTTCTTTTAGGAAGAATTTTTTTATTTACAAAATAGTTATTACACTCTTACTGTACACAAAATTCTTAGTTATCATTACATCAAGTTCACTCATTTATGGGATGTTTGCAAATTGTTGTAATTTCTGTTAATCGAGTGATCAACGTTTTAAGAGCTCAAAATCAGGACCCTGCAAAGAAAGACTTAACCAAGTTAACTATTAACTTTGGACAGTCACATGTTTAATTATAAATGTGAAGTAGAACAATGTAGGGAGATAAGATTTGATTGTGCTGTACCATGTTCAATTCTTAAACTAAACAAGAACAGGAAAATGAATAGATAAAATTTAACTTTGTTATTCCATCAAAAAAAAAAGGAATTAACTATGATATCCCATCACAAATAGAAAACTTAACTATGTCACAATTGTTGAAAATCCCCACGAACTTTGAAATATTTAGAATAATGCTCTAGAATTCTCTGGAGCAATTATCCTACAAAGTTCTATCAAGAAATTTCTAGAGACATGCAAGTGCATGGATCATATTCATTGTTCTAGATGCTTCCAACATGCGTATGGCTAGGATTCACTTGTCTACACACTTCCTAGCACTCTTGGGCAACTATAGACAGGAGTCGTGGGGTCTCATTTAAGCAACCGAGCAAGAAGTGAGCTTGAGTGAATGTCCACCAAAATAAGAGAGTTGTGTGGTAGTGAGATATGCTTGTAAGAGTGAGTATTATAATATTTAGTATTCTATTAATAAAAGCTCCCTTTGTGAAGAGAGTTGTCCTCTACAAAATCTAACAATTTGGTACAGAGCAGGCAGTTAGGACCTGTGTTTAGATTGTGCCAGTCGATCAGGGACTGTGTTCGAAACGATGTTTGAGAGTGATCTTTGGTCGTGCACAATCCGGTGTTGAATATGGCTCGCATTGGGACAATCCCAATTTGCTTAAGGTTGAAAGTTTTACTTTGACCAAAAAGAAATATTACAATTAGAATTGAATTTTAATTGGAAGAGAACTAGGATTTGAATACATCATGATAAAGGAATCCTATGAAAAGTAGGATTTGAAAAGGACATCATGAGAAAAAGTTCTATGGAGATTAGAATTCATCAAAGGAATCCTACATGAACTAGGACAAAAAGAAATCCATAAATACTCTTGAGAGGTTCATTATGAAGGTATTAAGAAAAAATAGAGAAAAAAAGAGCAAGTACTCTTGTGAGAATTTACAAGACAACAGTGAGAATGTATTCTTTAAAGATAACAAAGATCTCTCCCTCTTCTCCCATGGATGTAGGTACATTATCGAAACACGTAATTCTCGTTGTTCTTTCTATGATTGCATGCTAGTTTTCTTTAGTTGATTGTTTGTTCTTCGCTAAAAGTTCTTTTTCATATAGATCCTAAAGTTTAGATTTCTAATTAATTTCTAACATTCAGGATTGTGAAGCTCGTGTATCTAGGACTATGCTTACTTAGTATGTGAAGGAGAACAAGTCATGGTGTCAGATCAAATCAGCACTCCTGGCAGCAGGGAGAAGCTCAACGAGTACAATTATCAAGATTGGCAATGTGTGTTAAGTCCAATCTCAGAGGTCAAGACTTATAGGATATCGTTGATGGTGACGATGCCTCACCACCGACAAAGAGTGTGCAGGAAATGAAGAAGTGAATTATAAAGGCAAGGGAAGCCTTGTTCGTGATTCAAACTACGATACAAGCGCCTACTTTCACATATTGATGATGCAGAGATACCAAAACAAGGATGGAACGCGCTTGCTACCCTCTTCTTGAAGGAAGATGATGCATGCCTTCAGCTTCTTGAGAGAGAGCTTATGATTACATCACATGGCACACAATCTATCGACGACTATTTTTTGAAAGTTAGAAACTTGTGCCGTGAAATAGAGCAATTAGATGCTACTACTAAAATGGATGAAGATAGAATGATAAGGATTATATGTAATGGTTTAAAACCGGAGTATACTAGGTTTATCATGGTAATACAAGGTTGGCTGGTTCAACCTTCTCTAGATGAATTAGAGAATATACTGGCAGACCAAGAAGCTCTCTTGAAACAAATTGCGAGTATCCTTAAAAAGTAATAATGAGGAGAATGTACACAGTACACTTCACCAGTAAAAGAAGAAGTTATAGAAATAGATATGGTAATAATAAAGTTGAAGGAAAGTTTTGTGAGCAGGAAGGGTGCTCTCACTCAGGGGTAGCTCAGCAGAAGAGATGACTAAAAGGCACGATAAAGTGATGAGTGCTTCAAAAGTAAAACGAATGTTCACTTTGCTCGAGATTGCTAGCGCCCACCATGGGGTAGCGAGGGAGCTCTCGCTCATGGGGAGCTCAATATCGTAGTGAAAAAGATGACCAAAGGGCACAATAAAGTGATGAGTGCTTCAACTGTGGAAAGAAGGATCACTTTGTTCAAGATTACCGATCAAAGAACAATACAGCACAAGGAAACATGGTAATGTCTAAAGGACACCGAGATGCGGATGATAATGAAGAGTGGGATGCCCAAGCATCATTCGCTACAACCAAGCTTGTTGGCTTGACACAAGAAGAGGAGTATCTCGACATGAGAGATGTCCTCATCCAGTCAGATGAGAAGGCATTTACAGCTATAAACTTGTAAGTCATCAACTAGGATAACCACATAACAGGCGATTAGGAGAAACTACAAACCATGCCTACGTATAAAGGAGGAAGAGTTGTTATGATCACAAACAAGTCTGGATAGCCTTACTCACATTAGTAACACAAAATTACGCCCCGTTTCAGCCCTAATCAAGTGCAACTACAAAATGTCTATTGCATCTCTAGAATGAAGAACCCGTTGTCAGTGTCTTAACCGACAAGCTCCAGCAATTACATAGTATTCAGTCCTAAAGATGTAAAGGTGTATTGAAATTTAAGGCACTCCCGTACTCCGATCATGGAACATGGTTTTAAATATCGGCCGATAATCCGATATTATCGCTGAGTTATCGGATTTGGAAGCTTTCTGCTAGAATAAGTAGGATTTTTAATCGGTTATCATTTTTATGGGTTTATCGGCGAGTTATCGGCGATAAAGGCACTTATCGGCTGATAAAGGAGGCTAAAAATATCGACTTTATCAGCATGAGTTTTGAGTTGAACTGTTGGGTAATGGGCTATTACTTAGTGAGTTCTTAAATCCGACCCGACCTGCTTTTGACAATAAAATGAAGTTTCTAACTTCAAGTTCAGCCCTAATCCTTCGTGAATATCTCTCCCTCTTTATGCGGCTGTTCTCCAAGCATCCGAGCCTCAAGTTCAGCCCTAATCCTTCGTGAATATCTCTCCCTCTTTATGCGGCTGTTCTCCAAGCATCCGAGCCTCTTCGAACTCCATCGAGCTCAAGATCTATGTTCCCCTCTAACTTCGTTGATCTCGCCGCTCGCCTCCCCAACCTCGAAGCTTACGTCCACTGACGTTGCTCGCCTTCCCGACCTCAAAGCTCACCTCCGCCGATGTCACTCGCCTCCCCGACCTTAAAGCTCACCTTCGCTGACGTCGCTCGCCTCCCCGACCTCACAGCTGAACTCCCCTGACGTCGATTGTCTCCCTGACCTCGGAGCTCACCTCTGTTGACGTCGCTCGCCTCCTCGACCTCAAGGCTCACCTCCGAGCCTCTTCTAAACATGATTATTTACATTTTGGTATGTTTATATTTTATTAAGCATGGTTAAATTACATTTTTTGGTTATTATATTATATATATACACCATCCAGTATATCACTCCGATAAATACTACTTATCCCCGATATATCCCCGATTTTCTCTATCTAGTAAGGATTTTGACTGTCTGATAAATCTCCGATAACCGATATTTAAAACCTTATCATGGAAGGTCGAAGACTGGAGGCCACCTACATAATTTCAGTAGAAGAAGCATACATGGAGAAGACACGAAAGAATGAGACAACAGATGCGCAACACTAGGACATGTCAGCTACCACAAGCTTAAGATAATGATGAAATAGTTTATGTTCAAGAGTCTTCCTCATATAGAGAGTTGCAGAGACAACATTTGTACTAGATGTCAATATAGCAAAATACATCAGCTACCCCATGCACATCAACTACCCTATAAGGAGTTCAAGAATAGAGTGAAAGAACTATTGGAACTAATTCATTCAGACATGTTTGAGCTAGTCAAACAACCATCAATATGTGGATGCAGCTATATAGTAAGCTTCATCGTTGACTTCTCCAGACATGTCTTGGTGGACTTTATGAAAAAAATGTTAGCCTCTTTGTTTTGATGATGTTTAACAAATAATTTATCACTAATATTTTTTGTCTAGTATTTGTGTATTTTTATTTATTATAGACAAATAACATGTTGGAGGTTGGATGGAATTGCGTCATAACGATCATATCAAATGAAGGTTGGCGGAAATAGTAGAGTGAAGCTATGCAATTCAAGTTGAAGATCCAAGTTCAAGCTTCATCCGCAAGTTTACCAAGAAGAGCTTATTGAAGATCAATATCATAGCTTGGGCATATTTAGTTTAGGTTTATATTATGTGTGTTGATACTTTAAGCTCAATCACTTACACACATATAAGTTTTGGTTTCTTATATATATACAATTATATATATATATACATGTTTTGGTTTAATAGTTTTTAAGTTTTAATATGAA